ATTATTATCATCATTATTATTATTATCATCATTATTATTATTATCATCATTATTATTATTATTATTATTATTATTATTATTTTGTACCGGTGAACTTGCCAACCTTTTTCTTAAAAATAAATGTGATGTTGAATTCACTTTTTTGACCACAATTTTGGGTGTACTGTTTTGTTTTTATTTTTACTGATGGGGGGTGGGGGGGTGCGGCTTATATGTTGATGTTCGCGCGTTTTTTAAAAAAAATGGTGGGTGCGGCTTATAGTCCGAAAAATGCGGTATAGGATTTTTCAGAAAGGAAAGTCTAATCTTAAAGTAGAAAGCGTGTCAGACTCACAAACAGAAACTGGAAACTGCTTCAACAAAGCTCTGCCTCCCATGCTACTTTTAGAAATTCTAGGAAACACAAGTAAACCTGCAGTTTGAGGGCACATATAACAGTTTAACGTCCGTGCTGTTTTTAGGGCTGTGGCTCGGTGTGGAGTGGGATAACCCAGAGAGAGGCAAACATGATGGCAGCCATGGAGGAGTTCAGTATTTTACATGCAGGTAGTCCTCACAGTTTGTGATTTTCCTCAAGCTGAACCTAAACATTATTGATTTATTTACATTCACCAAGAAAGTAAATTGTTTAAAATAAATAATATATTTTGTTTTTAACAGACATCCTAAAGGAGGTTCCTTTGTCCGCCCAGCGAAGGCGAGTTTTGGAGTGGACTTCCTGACTGCTTTACAACAGACCTATGAGACTAACACAGAAGAAGTGTTGAGTCAAGAAATTGTAGTTTCTTCAAAGAAGTTGAAGTGGTGGTGTGTTGAAGAGCGCAGGTATTGTGTTAGTTTTTTTCTTTTTTTGTGGTATTTTTTATTTTAATGTGCTGAACAGCTTGATCAGTCAGATGTGAGAAAACAGTTCTCTGTGTACTAAAGTTTCCTTCATTATTTGACCAGAACAAAACAATGRTTTTAGTCTGCCTTTTGAACATATCAAATAGTTAAACCAAGAAACTGAACCATTTRGGGGGAAATTAATCTAGTAATTTTGACTCACTGTCTCTGTAAAGATTTAGGAAAGGAGGAGACCAGTTTGCCATTTACAATGTGTCTCGAGTCATTGGGCCTCATGCAAGAACATGTTCGTATTCTTCTCCTAAACTTCTCTTACCTTTGTTCGTATGAAGGGTTCGTACGAACATGTCACGTCAGATTCAACAAACTCTTTATCTTCAGGAAAAGTGTGTAAATGAGCTGRGRYAACTGATGAKTGCGTATCAGGTGCTCGCACACGGGGAGAGGTGATTAGCATAATTACCACCCTAAAAATACCATAAAAGGCTACATTTCCTGCCCCACATACCAGGAAGTTGTGACAGTTCCTTTAAGAGGTTTTATTGTTTAGTTTATTTTGGTTTTGATTAGGGGTGCCAGTCAGGTATCCCTCCTGACATGTAGGATGATGTTTAACCAGCTTGAGTTTTTAACTGTTTTATATATAAACGGTTTAGAGTTGGTTTTAGTTAACCAGACACATCAGGACATGCAAAGTATATAAAAATATAAATACATACCCTGTCAACTAAAATTAAATAATCAGTGACAAATGTTTTAAAGGCACAGTGTGTAGGATTTTGTCAATTCTTTTAGCTGAAATTGAGATAATCACTAATG